GTCTGGATTTAGTTTCAATTTGTTCGCCCTCATCCAGTCTGTTACAGCGGCCAAGCACTGGTTCAGGACTTGAACAGCCTCCTTAGTAGCAGGTAGGAAGGAGTGACACAGCTGGACATCATCTGCGTACAGATGGCACCGTATCCCGAAACTCTGGATGATCTCCCCCAACGGCTTCATGTACTGTCCGCTATGTTATTCAACAGTACTGAACCCTACGGGACCCCCCTACGGTACAATGGCTGTGGGGCCGAGCAGGAGTCCTCTAACAACACCTTCTGGGAACGACCCTCGAGGAAGGACTGAAACCATTGCAAGGCAGTACCCCCAAGGCCGATTCCTCTGAAGCGTCACAGAAGAATACCGTGGTCGACTGTTCTGGCCCAACTTACCTGTCCGAATGTATCTCCTCCTATGGACCAGCTAGAATGTTAAGATTGTCTGGGGAGGTCCTGCTCTCGGTCCCGCCTGCATCACAAGTACGGTTGGCGGGGACGAGTGACAGGGCCTTCTCAGTGGTGGCCCCTCGGCTGTGGAACGCCCTTCCCACAGAAATTAGATTGTCCCCCTCCCTGTTCACATTTCAGAGGAAAGTGAAGACCTGGTTGTTTGAGCAGGCATTTGAATAGGCGGTGTAACTAATATAGAAATATGGAACACTTGGATGATGAGACTGGATCTTGACTTTAACTATGAGACGAGACGTTATGATGTTTATTGATTGTTATAATGTTATTCTTTTAACTTGTTTTTAACTGTTTTTTATCATGTTTAAGTACTGTATTTGCTTTGTTAACCACTCTGAGTCGCCCTGAGGGCTGAGAAGAGTGGTATACAAATATATTAAATCTATATAAATAAAAATGTAATGTTCGTTTGTGGGATTAACAGAACTCAAAAACCACTGGACAAATTGACACCAAATTTGGACACAAGACACCTAACAACCCAATGTATGTCCTTCACTCAAAAAAATTGATTTTGTCATTTGGGAGTTGTAGTTGCTGGGATTTATAGTTCACCTACAATCAAAGAGCATTCTGAACCCCACCAACGATGAAATTGAACCAAACTTGGCACACAGTTCTCCCATGACCAACAGAAAATACTGGAAGGGTTTGGTGGACAGTGTCCTTTGGTTTTGGAGTTGTAGTTTATAGAATCATAGAATCAAAGAGTTGGAAGAGACCTCCTGGGCCATCCAGTCCAACCCCATTCTGCCAAGAAGCAGGAATATTGCATTCAAATCACCCCTGACAGATGGCCATCCAGCCTCTGTTTAAAAGCTTCCAAAGAAGGAGCCTCCACCACACTCCGGGGCAGAGCGTTCCACTGCTGACAGTCAGGAAGTTCTTCCTCGTGTTCAGATGGAATCTCCTCTCTTGTAGTTTGAAGCCATTGTTCCATTGCGTCCTAGTCTCCAGGGAAGCAGAAAACAAGCTTGTTCCCTCCTCCCTGTGGCCCACTTTTTGCTTGATATTCAGGCAGTGCTTCTTGTAGGTCAGAGCACGGTCCAGAGTGACTCCCAGGTATTTGGGTGCGCTGCAATGCTCCAGTGGGATTCCTTCCCAGGTGATCCTCAGAGCTCGGGATGCTTGTCTGTTCTTAAGTGAAAAGCACATGTTGTGTTTTAGATGGATTAGGGATCAGCTGGTTTTCCCTGTAATAGACAGTGATGGGCCATCCAGTCCAACTCTCTGCCAAGAAGCAGGAAAATTGCATTCAAAGCACCCCTGACAGATGGCCACCCAGCCTCTGTTTAAAAGCCTCCAAAGGAGGAGCCTCCACCACACTCTGGGGCAGAGAGTTCCACTGCTGAACAGCTCTCACAGTCAGGAAGTTCTTCCTCATGTTCAGGTGGAATCTCCTCTCTTGTAGTTTGAAGCCATTGTTCCATTGCGTCCTAGTCTCCAGGGAAGCAGAAAACAAGCTTGCTCCCTCCTCCCTGTGGCTTCCTCTCACATATTTATACATGGCTGTCATACATATCTGCAGACGACACCAAATTGGGAGGGATAGCCAATATTTCAGAGGACAGGAGCAGGATTCAAAACGATCTTGACAGATTAGAGAAATGGGCCAAAACTAACAAAATGAAGTTCAACTGTGACAAATTCAAGATACTCCACTTTGGCAAGAAAAACGAAATGCAAAGATACAGAATGGGGGACGCCTGGCTCGAGAGCAGTACGTGTGAAAAAGATCTTGGAGTCCTCGTGGACAACAAGTTAAACATGAGCCAACAATGTGATGTGGCGGCAAAAAAAGCCAATGGGATTTTGGCCTGCATCAATAGGAGCAGAGTGTCTAGACCTAGGGAGGTCATGCTACCCATGCTCTATTCCGCTTTGGTTAGACCACACCTGGAATATTGTGTCCAATTCTGGGCACCACAATTCAAGAGATTAGACAAGCTGGAATGTGTCCAGAGGAGGGCGACTAAAATGATCAAGGGTCTGGAGAACAAGCCCTATGAGGAGCGGCTTAAGGAGCTGGGCATGTTTAGCCTGAAGAAGAGAAGGCTGAGAGGAGATATGATAGCCATGTATATGTGAGAGGAAGCCACAGGGAAGAGGGAGCAAGCTTGTTTTCTGCTTCCTTGGAGACTAGGACGCAGGAACAATGGCTTCAAACTACAAGAGAGGAGATTCCATCTGAACGAGAAGAACTTTCTCTCGATGGGTCTTGTGAAAGAAGCAAACAGAGCCGGGGCGAGCCTTGGAAGCTTCCTTGGAAGCTTTTAAGCAGAGGCTGGATGGCCATCTGTCAGGGGTGATTTGAATGCAATATTCCTGCTTCTTGGCAGGGGGTTGGACTGGATGGCCCATGAGGTCTCTTCCCATGAGATCTTTATCATATCTCCTCTCAGCCTTCTCTTCTTCAGGCTAAACATGCCCAGCTCTTTAAGCCGCTCCTCATAGGGCTTGTTCTCCAGACCCTTGATCATTTTAGTCGCCCACAATCCTCTCCTTTGTTCAGTCTCTGGAAACTTTACAAAGGCCTTGTAATCCTGTCAGAATCCTTCCCAATCCCTCTGCATTTTCCAACTAAACCTTCTGGGTCAGACTGTGTTAATGGAAGAATATCCCCCACCGGGCCACACAATCCCAACTCAACCAACGCCAGGAAATCAAAGAAAGCCACTGACCAGGAGCCCAGGCCGGAGACGAAGGGCTAAAAACCCTGCTGCTACTTCCCTTCACAAAACCCTCCAGAGGGTCCCTTGCGACCGGAAGCACTTTATTGGGGCCTCTCTAGGAAGGCCATGCCTGCCACTAGCCAGGAAAGGCGGTGCTTCCGCTTTGGAAAGCACTTCCTTCTTCCCCTCTAGGAATCCCTCTCGGTCATTTTAACCCTATAGAGGTAGGCAAGAAGCCATCAGGTCAAGAAGCACTGCACCATTCCTCAATTTCTCTCTCTAATAAAAGTATTCATTTATGTGTTGTCTAATTTATTTATTTACTGTCTTTATACCCCGCTCTTCTCAACCGCAAAGGGGACTCAGAGCGGCTTACAGATTATGGCAACGTTCAATGCCGCATCATACAACAAATAATAAATATAACGTATCAAATTATAAAACAATTAAAACATATAAATGCAATAAGTGCAACAACAAATAATATAACATACTAGCCGTCCCCTGCCACGCGTTGCTGTGGCCCAGTCTGTTGATCTGGAAAATAAAGTAATGAGAAAGTGTTGGTTTATAATCTATGTAATTTCTTTCTGCTTGTGGGTAAACAGTATTTCTTGCTGTTTCTTTGTCAGTGTTGATGTGGAGAGTGTCTGGTTTGCTCACCCTGGAACATGCAACATATCATTGTCCTTCTTTAGGGGTCCCTTTCAAATCTATGATACTATATCTCTGTGTGAATCATATCTATCTATCTATATCTATGGCTGGATGGCTCTTTGTCAGGAGGACTTTGATTGCCCTGATGAAGGGAGTTGGATTGGATGGCCTTGAGTATTTTCTGTTGGTCATGGGGGTTCTGTGTGGGAAGTTTGCCTCGATTCTGTCGTTCGTGGGGTTCAGATTGCTCTTTGATTGTAGATGAACTATAAATCCCAGTAACTACAACTCCCAAATGTCAAGGTCTATTTTCCCCAAATTCCATCTGTGTTCATATGTGGACATATGGAGTATTTGTGCCAAGTTTGGTCCAGATCCATCATTGTTTGAGTCCACAGTGCTCTCTGGATGTAGGTGAACCACAACTCCAAAATTCAAGGTCAAACCCAAGGTCAAACCCACCAAACCCTTCTAGTGTTTTCTGATGGTCATGGGAGTCCTGTGTGCCAAGTTTGGCTCAATTCCATCATTGGTGGAGTTCAGAATGCTCTCTGATTGTAGGTTAACTATAAACAGCAACTACAACTCCCAAATGACAAAATCATATTTTTTTTTGAGTGGAGGACATACATTGGGTTGTTATGTGTCTTGTGTCCAAAGTTGGTGTCAATTTGTCCAGTGGTTTTTGAGTTATGTTAATTCCACAAACTAACATTACATTTTTATTTATATAGAAGATTGCACAAGTGACAGGACAACTACTTATCTCCACTGGAACATATGAACTACAAGTGATGGCTGACTGTGCACTGAACCTTATAATATTGGTTCTGCAAGTGATATTTAAGCATTTTTTTGTGGAGAGGGAGGGATTCTAGTTTAATGCGTTGAATGTTTGCTGATATCTGTTGTAAACCGGGCTGAGTTCCCTCGGGGAGATAGTGCAGGAAATTATTATTATTATTATTATTATTATTTGATCAAACACAGATCAATACACTATTCATATCATCCTTCCGATTAATAGTGGCTATGTATAATAATAATAATAATAATAATAATAATAATAATAATAATAATAATAATAATGCTTTGTTTATTTCCTGCCCCGTCTCTCCAAGAGGACTCAGGGTGTCTTTTCATTTTAATCTACAGATTTTAAGAAACCATGTGTCTCTGAAGATTGAATACATACACACACACGTCTTTAAAAGATTTTCTATTATTTACATGTTATAGATAGGACAATTAAACATTGACAGTAACCAATATACATTAATGTATAGAAAACAATTTGTCAGTTATGCTTTATTAGCTATTTCATTAAAAAAAAACCAGTCCCACATACATAGAATTACATGAAACACAGGGATGTCAGTCATTAATAGACCCCATTCCCACACTTCTCATCTCTCAATTAAATGTATTTTTAACCCTGAATATACATGGCAGGAAATAGTTACAGTGACCAGTATGCATGAATGGATTAAAAAAACTGAAACCTCTCAAAGTATTATCAGTTATGCTTAATTACATATTTCATAAAAGAAAATTGATGAGGTTATTATTTTCTCCAAAAGCCACGACTTTTTTAACTTAGTGTTTCTATGACAACGATTCACGGCCCCTCTGATGTTAAACAAGGGAACTTGCCTTTACCCCATTTATTCCATGTGAGTTAACAATTTAAAAAGGCTTGTATTTCCATACTCTGGTTTTTCTCTGTTGTGAGTTGCCTGGTGACGAACAAGGTTTGATTTTCGACTGAAGCTCTTTTCACATTCCAAGCATTTAAATGGCTTTTCTCCTATGTGGGTTGCCTGGTGACGTACAAGGTCTACCTTTTGACTATAGCTCTTTCCACAGTCTGAGCATTGAAATGGCCTTTCTCCTGTGTGAGTTGCCTGGTGACGAACAAGACCTCCTTTCTGACTGAAACTCTTTCCGCACTCCAAGCACTTAAACGGCTTTTCACCTGTGTGCGTTGCCTGATGACGAATAAGGACGGTCTTGTGACTGAAGCTCTTTTCACACTGCAAGCATTCAAATGGTTTTACTCCTGTGTGAGTTGCCTGGTGACAAATAAGGTTTCTCTTTTGACTGAAGCTCTTTCCACACTCCAGGCATTTAAATGGCTTCTCTCCCGTGTGAGTTGCCTGGTGACGAATAAGGACGGTCTTGTGACTGAACCACTTTTCACACTGCAAGCATTTAAATGGCTTCTCTCCTGTGTGAGTTGCTTGATGACTAATAAGGACTTGCTTGTGAGTGAAGCTTTTCTCACACTGCAAGCATTTAAATGGTTTTACTCCTGTGTGAGTTGCCTGATGAGTATTAAGGTGGCTCTTTTGACTGAAGCTCTTTTCACACTGCAAGCATTTAAATGCCTTTACTCCTGTGTGAGTTGCCTGATGACTAATAAGGTTTACCTTTTGACTAAAGCTCTTTTCACACTCTGGGCATTTAAATGGCTTCTCTCCTGTGTGAGTTGCCTGATGACGAATAAAGACATTCTTGTGAGTGAAGCTCTTTTCACACTGCAAGCATTTAAATGGCTTTACTCCTGTGTGAGTTGCCTGATGACGAATAAGGACATTCTTGTGACTGAAGCTCTTTTCACACTGCAAGCATTTAAATCGCTTCTCTCCTGTGTGAATTTCCTGATGACTAATAAGATGGCTCTTTTGGCTGAAGCTCTTTTCACACTCCAAGCATTTGAATGGTTTTATTCCTGTGTGAGTTTCCTGATGACGAGTAAGGACGTACTTGTGACTGAAACTCTTTTCACACTGCAAGCATTTAAATGGCTTCTCTCCTGTGTGAGTTTTCTGGTGAGTAATAAGGTTTCTCTTTTGACTGTAGCTCTTTTCACACTGCAAGCATTTAAATGGTCTATCCCTTGTGTGAGTTTCTTGACAAAAGGTGGGCGCTTCATTCCAATTGAAATTCATTCCAAATTCCAAATATGTAAATGGTGCCTCTTCTGTTTACATGGTTTGAGAACAAGGGAAATGTGGCCATGTGTTGAAAACAAAAGGTTATATTAAAGTTAAAAATATTGAAATTACAATATGCATTTAGTCAAGACAGCCCTTGCAATAAGGGCTGGGAAAAACTGAGCTGTTTCCTCAGCCCAAGTTTCTCTGGAATCCCCTGTACTTCTAGCACAAGAACAGCAAAAACCTTTCAACCTAACTTCATGGCATCAGGCAGCAGAACAAACATCCAAATTCAGATTAGAAGGGAGAATAAAGTTGCCATTTTAAAAAGGATTGAATGAAGCTGGACAAATCTGGAGTTTGGCATTCTCTCTCTGTTTTGTCACTCCTTATATTATTTCTCCAATGTTAACCCCTTAGTATTTTTAAAGCACCACCTACTATTGAATTAATAGAGGCATCTGGCAAAATCTGTTTTATATCATCAGTTTCACAAGTGTGGACTGGTATTTACTGTATTAATTTTTGTGTATGGAGAAGTCTATATACAAGGGGTATTTTTTAAGTAAGGTCCGTTTTGTTGTAGACACTTGTAGTTCGCGCGCATACCGCAACGAGTGCGTGTGTCGTGTACTGGCATGCCTCGGGAACAACTGTGCTCAGTTTCCACTCTGTAGCTAACCTGTATGGTTCTGTTCTATGCTTTAAAAATGTTTAAGACTTTCAACTCACCCGCCGCATGTGAGGTTCGCTCAGTGATACGGTTTTTGTCAGCAAGGAACCTGCCTGCTGCAGAAGTTCATCGACAGATTTGTGAAGTGTACGGTGATACTGTTATGAGTGAAAGCAAAGTGCGTAAGTGGGTACGACAATTCAAAGATGGCCGTGACAACGTCCATGAGGAGGACCGCTCCGGTCGCCCTTCTTTGATTACAGACGATTTGGTGGCTTCAGCTGAAGTGAGGATCCGTGAAGAGGGTATTTTAAAATTGGTTCAGAGGTATGATAAGTGTTTGAACAAACTTGGCAATTATGTCGAAAAATAGAGTGAAGTATGTACTTTCTGAAAATAAATTTACTTTTTTGAAATAAACTTTCGTTGTGTACTTATGTTCAAACAGACCTTACTTAAAAAATACCCCTCGTATATACAGTGTTCCCTCCCTTATCGCTGGTGTTACGTTCCAGTACCATGGTCATTTGTTGCCATGGCTCCACTAGCTGTCAATTGGTTTCCAGACACAATTTGAATTGCTGGTTATGATCTATAAAGACCTAAATGCCTCAGATCCAGGCTATTTGAATTATTGTATTTCCTTGTTCAAACCTAGAAGCCTCAAGAGAAGCCCTTCTCTCCCTCCCACCACCATCACAAGCATGGCTGGAGGGTGCAAAATAACAATATGCCAAAATTTCATATAATATGGCAACCAAAACCAAGTGCCAGTTCTTTTCTTGGGCTGCCACCCATGTGGGATATGGAATTAGATTGTTTTCTATGGCTTCAGAGGAAGAGATCTGGAACACTAGATGAATTTTTGAACTTGTAAACTGATTTGGTTACATATTATATGTAGGAGATTTTTGGGAATTGGTTATAAGGGAATTAGAAAATATTATGGATATAAAAATTAGAAAGAACCCAGTAGAAATATTACTTTTAATTTAAAAAAGAGAATGGGAAAGATAGGGGGGGGGGATTTAACAGACGTGATGTTAACAGCAGCTAGATTATTAATTGCAAAATACTGGAAAGGGGAAATGAAAATACAGATTAATTAATGTTATAAAGAAGTCTGGAAAATGGCACTGAACAATAAGAACATCAAACTTAAAAGTAAAGAAGGATTATGTAAAAAAATAAGTTTGCAAGTATTTGGAGAAAATTTATAGAAAAAGTATTGGAAAAATAAGACGGGAATTTGCCTCCAAATAAAGAACTTTTATTTGGCAACAAGAATGATTGACAACTGGGAAATAGAGGGAGAAAACGTGGAGGCCGTGACAGACTTTGTATTTCTAGGCGCAAAGATGACTGCAGATGCAGACTGTGGCCAGGAAATCAGAAGACGCTTACTTCTTGGGAGGAGAGCAATGTCCAGTCTCGATAAAATAGTAAAGAGTAGAGACATCAGACTGGCAACAAAGATCCATTGCCTAGTCAAAGCCATGGTCTTCCCTGTAGTCACCTACGGATGTGAGAGCTGGACCTTAGGGAAGGCTGAGCGAAGGAAGAGAGATGCTTTTGAGCTGTGGTGTTGGAGGAAAGTTCTGAGAGTGCCTTGGACTGCGAGAAGATCCAACCAGTCCATCCTCCAGGAAATAAAGCCCGGCTGCTCATTGGAGGGAAGGATAGTAGAGACAAAGTTGAAGTCCTTTGGCCACATCATGAGGAGACAGCAAAGCCTAGAGAAGACAATTATGCTGGGGAAAGTGGAAGGCAAAAGGACGAGGGGCCGACCAAGGGCAAGATGGATGGATGGCATCCTTGAAGTGACTGGACTGACCTTGAAGGAGCTGGGGGTGGTGACGGCCGACAGGGAGCTCTGGCGTGGGCTGGTCCATAAGGTCACGAAGAGTCGGAGATGACTGAACGAATGAACAACAACAAAAGAACTTTTGGTGGGCCTTTTGAAGAAGAGATGGCTTTGGAGAAGGGGAGCACAGGGGTGAATGAAAATAAAAGACGGGGAAATGTATAGTATTTGTCTATATAACTGTAATTTTTTCTCAAATAGTTATTTTAAATTTGGGTTAACTACAAGCATAAATGGAGCTTTACCCAGAGATGACACGATTCCTAAATTCTCCTCCATGATTTGCTGGTGCAGGGCTTTCTGGCTTGGATCCAAGAGGGCCCACTCCTCCACTGAGAAATTCACAGACACATCTTCAAAAGTCACCTGAAGGGAAAAAAAATTGTTATCAGCAAGGAGAAAATGCCATCCAAGTGCTGAAAAAACATCCCAGGCCATTTGTGATTTATGTCTTTGAATAACTAATTCATTGAAAAAATCTTGGATGGAAGGAATGTAGAAGAAAGAGGTTCACTTAGATTCAAAACAATATTCAAGGGACAAGGAGACTGGGCTTCTCCTCCTCTCCAGGGATCCTGCTGCCTACCTGATCTGGTCCCACAGAATCTCTTCTTAGGAAAGGATCATGAAAGGTTGTGCTACTGTCACTTGGCCATGTTTCACTGCCTGTGAAAAAGAGAAAGGACATCAGGGAGGGTGAGATTGCCCCCTTTCAGGCCCGACCCGCAGTTCCTTCCCTCGGAAGCCTGCCACTCTCCCCTTGCCCCATGGCCCTCTTTTAAACTCCCCCCTTGGATTTGAGTCCCAGGTCTTTAATATGGACTATTTTGTTTTACAGAGATGTTGCAACCTAATCCCAGGAAATGTGGAGGGTGGACTGTATTTGTGCCAGTATAGCAAAGAGCACACTCACCACCATAAACATCCAGAGAAGCAAAGGATTCATGTAAATTTGAAAGTGGCACAAATAATTATGGTAGAGAAATGTCTCCTGTCAACAGTATTCTTAAGCTACCAGGCTACCCAAATTTTTGGCCCATCCCTTACCAACTGTGACATATTCTCCATTTCCAGTCACGACAACACACACGATGTCTAAAGGAGGCTCTTCCACCTGGTTGGTCTCATCTGCAAAAGAGTCCTGCACCTGAACAAGAGGCACAGGTCACAAAGAAAAACACAGATTAGAAAAAGAGGGAGGGCTCTCTTTCTGCAACCTGTTCCAGACCACTGGGATTATGGTTGGGACCCAAGACTGTTTTTCTTCATTCTGTAGAATGTATTTCCTTGATTTTGGGGTGGGATTCTGCCTTCGTTCACAATATATACCTTTTATCTTCAAAGTTTGCCATCCTATAATCTCATGGTTATACCACCCTGGGGAAAAGAAGACTGCCCCCTCCTACACGTGGTTTATTTTACATTACACCACAAAGCCTACCATTCTATAAATTCAAATCATTATACCTGCTTATACCACCCTAGGGAATGGAAAGGACTGCCCCCTCCTCTCCATGAAACCCCTGGGGGGGGGGAGTGCAAAGGGGGCTGCAGTAGCACCATAAGTATCTTCCCAGGGTGAAAACCCCTGGGTTCTCCTTTCCTAATGCTTCTCTGAACTTGTTCATCTGGAAGTGAATGCAATAATCCCAGCAAGAGTTAAGAAAGGGTTTACAATGTCCTTCAAAACAATTGTTCTTGATTCCTTGAAACTACAAGATGAACCTCTCTCTCCCTTTCTCTCTCTCACCTGTGGCTTCTCCCGTTTCCTCTCCTCTTCCTGACTCAGGAGGAATCCTTCAGCCAAGGCCACGGCCTGGGAGCTGGTCTCTGCCCCACATTCCCTGACCCAGCGCTCCATCTCCGCAGGAAGGACGGCCAGGAACTGCTCCAGGATCACCAGGTCCAGCATCTCCGCCTTGGAGTGTCGCTTGGGCTTCAGCCACAGGCGGCACAGAGAGTGGAGGCGGCTGCAAACCTCCCGGGGTCCCAAGGCCTCCTCATAGCGGAAATGCCGGAAGTGCTGGCGCTGTAGGTCTGAATGGAGCAGAGTGCTCTCCCGGTCTTTCCTCCAAGAGTCCTTCCAGAGTGCTCTAGTCTTCTCTGCCTCAACAGCAGAACATACTTCTAAATGGGCAGCAGCTAGTTCTTGCCCTTCCATCTTGGTTCTGCACTTCAAGGGTGCCTCCAAACTGGATGAAGAACTTCCCTCTTCTCCCGCCAGATGATATATGAAGGGGAAGAAGTGGCAGAACTCAGAGGGCCTACAAAACAAACAAAACAAATAAGATCATGTTAATACTGTCAAAGTGTGATAATGTTTTACCATGAATGTTGCATTGAGGACTGGTTTCTTGATCTGGAGAGAAAGGGTTCAGGGGAAGGGTCCCCTCCTTCGCACAGAGCAACATGGTTCTTCTGTAGTCCTCCCTTGTTCAGCCCCTCGAACAGTGGTTCTCAACCTGTGGGTCCCCAGATGTTTTGGCTTTACACTCCCAGAAATCCTAACAGTTGGTAAACTGGCTGGGATTTCTGGGAGTTGTAGGCCAAAACACCTGGGGACCCACAGGTTGAGAACCACTGGCCTAGAACCTTTGATATCTCTTTCTCTTCCTTTGGGAATCCTTCCAAATCATTTTCTGGTGGCAGATGCCGGAGGGTTCGTTCCTGCAACCTTTCTCTGCACTCCTTCAGACCCCACAGATCCCAGTCCAAGACAGAGCGAGCTGCAGGTGAAACTGGGGAGGAAGGAGCCCTCCTCTGAAGAAGGAAAAAAGGGCAGGGAGCCCTTGGCCAGCCTCAGGGGGCCTCCAAAGCCCCTTTCTCTTCCGCAGAATAAATAAATAAAGGGGGCCTGCCCTCATTGCCACCTCCCCTCCTCTGCTCCCTGAACTTGCCTGGAAGAGGCCCTGCGCCCTCTGCCCCTCCCCCCTTCCCGGGACAGAAGAGGGAAGAGACCCACCTTCATTTTCCAGAATGTCCCTCTGCTCCTCTCCCGAAGAGGAGGAGAACCTTTTCCCGACTCACAGCCAGATGAATCAGGCTTACGCTTCTTTGTCCCCTTTTCACATACAGCCTCCCACTCTTTTTTCCATTGGGCTAAATTCTCTCTGACGACAGAAACATGCAGTGTTCTTGGGAATACTATACCCTAAAAAGGACACAAAACAATCATTATTTATATCATTTCATTAATTTGCGACTTGCTTTTCTCTTAATAATGCGACTCAAGACAAAGAGTGACATATTTTAAAACAATATGGAAGCAACAGGAAGCCTTGATCGCAGGCATGGGGCAGACTCTGGTCCTCCAGGTGTTTTGGACTTCAGTGTCAACATCTGGATTTGGCTCCACAGCTCGAAATCCAGGTATTTTGTTGCCTGAGAACAAGGCAAGGAGGCCCCTCTTCCCGATCTCTACAAGAGAAGCAGAGGGACCTGCAGCTGAGGCTGGGAAGGAATGTATTGTTGAAGGCTTTCATGACCAGAACCACTGGGTTGTTGTAGGTTTCTCGGGCTGTATGGCCATGTTCTAGAAGCATTCTCTCCTGAGGTTTTGCCTGCATTTGTGGCAGGCATCCTCAGAGTTTGTGAAGTCTGTTGGCAACTAGGAAAATTGGGTTTAGATGTCTGTGGAAAGTCCAGGGTGGGGGAAAGAACTCTTGTCTGTTGGAGCTAGATGTGAATGTTTCAATTGGTCACCTTGACTAGCATTTGATGGCCTGACAGTTTTTCAGTGTGGCTTGTTGCTGCCTGGGATAATCTTTTGTTGAGAGGTGATTAGGTGTTCCTGATTGTTTCTTGTCTGGATTTCCCCTGTGTTTGAGTTTTGTGCATGTGGCCAATTTCAACAGAAAGGAAGAAACCATGAACATGAATAAAACCTGGCTACCAAACTGTAGGGCCAGTGTCTTCTCATTAATAACGAATGTATAATAACAACAATAATAACACTTTATTTGTACCCTGCTACCATCTCCCCAAGGGACTCGGTGCAGCTTACATGAGGCCGAGCCCAAACACAACAATACAAGCAATAACAACACAGCACAAGCAATTAAAAACACATAGACAATAAGATACACAACATTATCAATAAAACAGCACACAATTAAAAACAGTGGGAAGGCCAAATGTAGAGTTAAAATTGGAAACAATGTATGGTGAACCATCCACTTTTATAAAAAAAGACAAAATCCTGAAGAAGGGGAAGTCCCCCAAAACAAGGCAACCTCAACACGGGGATCCTTGTCGCATTATAATTTGGATATTATTTTGAACTGGACAACATTTTGAACTATTTAGACTTAATTTGGACTGTATTTTGAAGAAAATTTACTTTCTCAAAGACTACGAGATAACCAAGAAGCATTCAGAATTGTTATTTCTTTGTATAGTTCATATGCAGTGTATTTACACGGTTTATGCTAACATAGTTCTGTTTGGATAACACTTTGCTTGTCGTTGTTACAGATATCTGTGTTTCTTTGATATCCCAGCAAGCTGCGCCACAGTCCCGGTGCGAAAGATCAAAAAATATTTAGCCACCTGCGTTCCTTCTATTTTTATCGGGTTTATACTAATTTATTGGGTTTATACCAATTACTCTCTCCCTCTGGAGGCCAGAACCGCCCCATCCATCCTAACATTTAGGAAGCAGGTGAAGACGTGGCTGTGGAGTCAGGCCTTCGATGAATGAGACAACACCATAGGACCCTGGATGGAAGTTGATGTAGATCCATCTTAATAGGACAACTGACCACTGTAGTTTTATATATAGTGTTTTTAAAGTTGTTTTTGTAATTGTGATATATGATATTTTAATGAGTGTATATGTTTTTATGGCTGGAAACCGGGCTGAGTCCCTCAATGAGGTTGAGAAGCTCGGTATAGAAAACTGTGAAATAAATAAATAAATAAATATTTCCCTGCCCCCGGTGGCGCAGTGGGTTAAAGCACTGAGCTGCTGAGCTTGTTGTCCAAAAGGTCGCAGGTTCGATTCCAGGGAGCAGTGTGAGCTTCCGCTGTCAGCCCTAGCTTCTGCCAACCTAGCAGTTCGAAAACATGCAAATGTGAGTAGATCAATAGGTACCGCTCCGGCGGGAAGGTAACGGCGCTCCATGCAGTCATGCTGGCCACATGACCTTGGAGGTGTCTATGGATAACGCTGGCTCTTCGGCTTAGAAATGGAGATGAGCACCACACCCCAGAGTCAGACATGACTGGACTTAATGTCAGGGGACAATCTTTACCTTTTATTACTAATTTATGCAATACTTTTGATACAAAATAAACAAACAACAAAACTCAGACATAGGGGAAGTCCAGACAAGAAACAATCAGGAACACCTAATCACCTCTCAACAAAAGATTATCCCAGGCAGCAACAAGCCACACCCCAAAACTGTCAGGCCATCAAATGCTAATCAAGGGCCCCAAGCTTCCCTCCTGCCCGCTTCCCACTCTTTGCTGCCTGGGGGCCTTCCCAGGCTGGCCCTCCAAGCCAGGAGGTTATGCCAGATAATCTGGGATAATGCCAGATAATCTGGGATAAACAGAAAACCTAGGATCAGTTCCTGGGAGAGAGGAGCTGCCTGGAAGGGGCCTGAGCCTGCCTGGCAGAGGCCCCACTCCTTCTGCTTCCCTCTCTCTCTCTTCTCCAGGGACAGGAAAGGAAAGAGTCCACCAGGAAGTAAAGAACCAGGCGGGAGAGAGGACAGGGCAAAGGAAAGGTCATTGTTTACCCAGGAAATAGACGGTAAGGGTGGGCTGATCTCACAGAAGAGAGGAGAGAAGCTGCTCAACACTCGCCCAAGGAGGACTGAGCCCTTCCGGAAGCGGCACTCCTCTCCCTCCTCGGAGGACCACCTGCAGCCCGAGCCTTCTTCCGGTGCCCCTCTAGGAAGGGACGGGCTCATCATTGGCCATAATGGGATGTTTTTTCTTCCTTCCTTCCTTCTTCCCTTCTAGGAACCCCTCTCAGTCGCTTTAACCCTTCAGAGGCACTCACTGCCTATTACAGGGAAAACCAGCTGATCCCTGATCCATCTGAAACACAGACATGTGCTTTTCACCTCAAGAACAGACAAGCATCCTATTTATTTATCGTGTCATCAGCAACCATACCATTGTATTACAATTCTAACA